CGGGGTGGGGAGAGGAGAAGGAGGGGAGAGGAAGGGAAAGAACAGGGAGGGAAGAAGGAGCCAGTCAAGTCTCCTGACTCGGCCCCTGAATCCCTTTGCAAACCCATTATCAAAATTGATTTTAATAAATGAAAGATTTACCTGGGTCGAACCTTGTTTTTAACTGGCGGCTATTAATTAATTAACCATCACCAGCCTGGACATCATAATGGGATGATATTTTGATGCTAACACATTATTGAAAAAGACAAGCCATGTTTTTTTTTTTTTTCTAAGTAATCAATTTAATCAGCCCCAAATGAAGATTCCAACCACTGCCTATGCTCTCGGGTACTTTAATAGCTTCCTTTGCCAGGGCCCCAAATGCCCACTTTAGGACTCTGTGCCCTGATAAGCAGTTTCAGGCAAGTCAGTCAGTGTTAACTCAGTTTTTGTTTTTTTGTTTGTTTGTTTTTTTAATTACAATAGTTAACTTTAAGAAATCTCTGAAACATCTTCATAATTAATAAATGAAAAATGTTCCTGCAGCTAATCAATAAAGTTGTTAGAGAGAATTGATCGGATGGGGAACTCTTTTTGTGGGTACAATTTTTCACCTATTCAGAACAAAAGACTCCCTAGAGCTCTATCAGCATGATAGACACTTAAGAGTCTGACCCAAAAGGAAAAAAAAAAAAAATAGAAAGACGATTAATTAAAATCTCCAGGAGTAACATCCACTTGCATCCTGTGGGTGGAGAGCTGGGTCAGGTGCAGAGGTAGCTAATGTGGAGCTTGGGGAGGTTAGGGAAGCAGAGGTGCCCGGAGGCGTCCCTCACCCTGAGGCTGTGCCCCGGACTTGCTGGAGTCCTGGAAGATTAAAACAGGCTTCTGTGGTTCAAGGCTTTTTTTTTTTTTTTCTTAATTATTTAAATCCAAGCTGGTGAACATACAGTGTAATAACGGTTTCAGGAGCAGAATTTGATGATTCATCACTAACATACAACACCCAGTGCTCATCACAAGTGCCCTCTTGAATGCCCATCACCCATCTAGCCCATCTCTCTTCCCACCTCCCCTCCAGCAACCCTGAGTTTGTTCTCTGTATTTAAGAGTCTCATGGTTTGCCTCCCTCCCCATTTTTATCTTATTTTTCCTTCCCTTCCCCTCTGTTCATCTGTTTTGTTTCTTAAATTCCACATGAGAGAAACCATATGATATTTTTCTTTCTCTGACTTATTTTGCTTAGCATAATACACTGTAGTTCCATCCATGTTGTTGCAAATGGCAAGATTTCATTCTTTTTGATTGCTGAGTAATATTCCACACACACACACACACACACACACACACACACACACACACATATATGCCACATCTTCCTTATCCATTCCTTATCCATTCATCAGTCGATGGACATTTGGGTCCTTTCCATAATTTGGCTATTGTTGATAATGCAGCTATAAACATTGGGGTGCATGTACCCCTTCAAATCAGCATCTTTGTATCCTTTGGATATTCAGCTCCTCATATGTTTAAGTAATTGACTGCAGGTCACACACCTAATGAGAGGCCTCTAGGTTTTGAGGCCAGGTCTGTCTGATTCGAGGGCGTGTAGTAGCTTGGTAACCCCATTCTCACAGGTGGGGTGCAAAATGCATGAAAGTCTGCTGGAACAGAACAATATCTTGCCAATTATTTTAATGTGGAAGGTATTCAGCATGTTCAGAAGCAATGAACACTGAATGTTCTACCGGATCCCTAATCTGACAGCTCCTTAGAATTATTTGCACAGATTCTAGGGCTTGTGCACATCTACTGAATCAGGATCTGTGAGTCTGGGGCCTGGGAATCTATGTTTTTAAAACATGCCCCAGTGATGTGATCCTGGTTTACATCAGGCTGAGGTTACCACTGATTTTGCCCACTTTCCTGTCTCCAGGTCTCGTCTCCTCATCTCTGGCAGGATGCTGTGAGTGGCCTGCCTCCCACAACTGGTTCCCAGAGTTCGGAAAACTTCCCCCCACTCCCCGACTAGAGCACACATGTCCTGGCAATGTTTAGGCACTGAATGATATTGTCCCTCCCCCTGTATCTTTTGTTGGACAAGCCATAATACAGAACATTTATTGAGCACTTACTAAGTGTCAGGAGTTGTGCTAAGAATCATTTAATTGCCACAGAAATCCTGTGAGTTAGGCAACATGACTATTGCCATTTTACAGATGAGCAAACTGAGACCTTGAAAGAGAAAGTAATTGACTAAAGGTCACACGCCTAATGAGAGGCCCCCAAGTTTTGAAGCCAGCTCTGTCTGGTTCGCGGGCACGTGCTCTTCCCACCAGGAAGGGACAGGCCACTGGGAGACACAGGACAGAGGTGTGGGTTGGCAGCTCTGAACATGCAGAATTTGAATGAAAGAATTCCAGATCCATGAAGAATTCCAGATCCTCATATGATTAAGTGGATTAAAGTAATATTTTGTCCCTCTTTATACAATGTCGCATACCAGTCTTTTTCAAGTGGAAAAATGATGAAGGAGGTAGATCAGAAGGACAGCTATAATTGTCCTAAAGCATCTTAGCCAGCAAGCATACTCTTTCACTAGCATAATTGTAATCTAATTAACTGATGACTATATGGTATTCTTGGACAGCTGGGGCATGTGTTAAAAATCCAGGTACTGGGGCACCTGGGTGGCTCAGTCAGTTAAGTGTCTGACTTCGGCTCAGGTCATGATCTCATGGTTTGTGAGTTCGAGCCCTGCGTCGGGCTCTGTGCTGACAACTAGCTCGGAGCCTGGAGCCTGCCTTCAGATTCTGTGTCTTCCTCTCTCTCTGACCCTTCCCTGTTCATGCTGTCTCTATCTCTCTCTCAAAAATAAATAAAACATTTTTAAAAATGCAGGTACTCGGGGCGCCTGGGTGGCTTAGTCGGTTAAGCGTCTGACTTTTCGCTCAGGTCATGATCTCGCGGTTCGTGGGTTCGAGCCCCGCATCGGGCTCTGTGCTGACTGCCAGCTCAGAGCCTGGAGCCTATTTCAGAGTCTGTCTCCCTCTCTCTCTGACCCTCCCCTGCTCACGCTGTCTCTCTCTCTCTCTCTCTCTCTCTCTCTCTCTCCTAGAAATAAATAAAACATTAAAAAAATAATAAAAAAATGCAGGTACTCAGACCCATACTAAATGTCCTGTAACAGTCAGGTGACTTACATATTGACAAATTTCCTAAATCTGCATAATATCTGATTAAGTTTGAGAACCACTGATGTAGCACGTTCCCCATTGGCTCCAACTGCCATTCCCAAAACGATGCTGGGTGACAGTGTAATAGGGAGCGTATTGGACAAGGCACATTCTACTCATGTATTGCTGTGTAACAGCAATAGTGGCCTAAATCTTAGTGGCTTAATACCACTAAATATGTAAAAACATTTATTTATGCCACCAATCTGCAATGTGAGCAAAGCTTAGCAGGGAGGGTCCATCTCTGTAACACTGATTTGGGCTGGGGTGGGGCCGAAGGATCTGTTTCTAGGATGTTTTAAATACCTGGCTGGTGAGTTGGTACTGGGTGTTGGCTGGGAGCTCAGCTGGGGCTGTGAGCCAGGGACCTTGATTCCTTTCCACAGTGGCCTGTCCATAGGGCTGCTTGGGCTTCCTTACAGCATGGCGGCTGGATTCTAAAACTATGTGTTCCAAGAGGCAAAAGGTAGAAACTGCCGGTTCCTTTAAGTCCTGGCTTGGGAAGCTGCTATAGCATCGCTTCTGCCACATTCTATTAATGAGGCAATCATAGGGCCCAGATTCAAGAAGAGGGGGCATAAATGCCTTCTCAACAGGAAGAGGATCAATGAGTTTGGGGACCACATTTTAAAATCACCACAGTTGGGATTCCTTCCTTTAACCCACCTCTGCAATTCATTTTGTCACACTGGAGGATTCTCTTTACCTTTACAATCTTAGGTTCCTTGTGTACGAGATGAAGAGCCTGGGTGATATTCCCATCTCAAGACTACATATAACAATAGGAGAGGTGCAAGTAAGCTCCTCCATAAGATTTGTCTTTGTTCTTCATCGGTTAGTACTGTATTGAGATTCCTTCACACATTCCTGAAATCCATGTCCTTGAAGGGCTTATTTAGCTTGGCTGCAATTTTAGGTACATCTCAGAAATCTCCCTGAGTTCCTAAAGGGGCTGTGGAGATTACCTCAGCTCTTGAGGTGAAGGCCTGCTTATACTGCCATTCCTTCCCTCAGGCCTGCCCAGCATGAGGACACAACCACACAGCAGCTTGCTCAGAACCTAGGGGTCATTCTTCAGAAGAATGTGGAAAAGAAGAAGGGTTGCTTCAGTGTGACCTCAGTGTTTTCTTCAAGATCTACTCAAGAGAACATCATAAATCCCTGTGTTGGGGCGTCTGTGTGACTCAATGGGTTAAGTGTCCAACTCTTGATTTCGGTTCAGGTCATGATCTGCAGTCATAGGTTCAAGCCCCATGTCAGGCTCTGCACTGAGTGTGGAGCTTGCTTGGGATTCTCTCTCTCTCTCTCTCTCTCTCTCTCTCTATTTCCCCTCCCCTTGGTTTCTTCCCCCACCTCAAAAAAAATGTTTAAAATATCCCCTTGTTAAGGAAGGCTGGGGGGTGGAGGTATTTGGCCAATACATCTTATTTCCTCATTCCAAAAGTTGAGAAAGGTGTTGTTACTTCTGCCTCACAATGCTGAAGGGGTCAAGGGAAGTCCGGGAGGTCCCTCCATCATGCCAATACCTGCAACACAACACTAGAGACTTATACCAAGACCTCATGTAGGTGTGTGAAGGGAGGGGGAAAATGAAGCACCTCCCAAGCCACCAACAACAAGTGGATCAACTTGGACATGTGATCGCCAAATCTGCATGCCTGGTTCCAGACACAGCTATGACAGAGACCCAAACATTGTCGTTTTCACTTCTCTCCAGTGGATGTTTGCAGGACACCTCTTCAAAGAGATATGATCAGGGAAGATGGGAAGAGCAAACAATGGAGGAGGGTTGACTTTATTTACTGAGGAGTTTTTGAGTACACTGGATGGATTACAAACCAAGGAGAATTCAGACAGGCATCTCAAACAGGCAATGTTGACCAAAACATGTAGGTTTTTCATATTCCTCTTCACTTCTCATTTGAATCTATGATTGCATCATTTATAAGCTCATCTTTCTTTATATCTGTGTTCCAAAGAAATCCTAAGTAGAAATATTCTTCTTAATAGATTTTATTTGTGATGTGCAATGATAAATGCTTGTTTAAAGGACAATTGAGATAAATTATATTTCTAATCATCTGGATTGTCAACGTATAATATATTCTTCCCTGCTTTTATCTGTAAAAAAAAAAATCCGGTTAATCTCTGATATCATTTTTCAGTTCTAAAATTCCTTGATCCTGGGACTCCTAGGTGGCTTAGTTGGTTAACGTCCGACTTTAACTCGGGTCATGACCTCATGGTTCATGGGTTCGCACCCTGCGTCAGCGCAGAGCCTGCTTGGGATTCTCTCTCTCCCCCTCTCTCTGCCCCTCCCCATCTTGTGCTCACTCACTCTCTCTCAAAATAAATAAATAAAATTTTAAAAGTAATAAAATAAAATAAAATTCCTTGATCCCAGAAACTTTTTAAAACTCTAAGTTCAATAAGCCAAAGAGGCCCTATTCCTGGGTTTGAGAATGTTCTGTTACTATTACGGCCATATAGTGATCATTTTAAGCACAGAACTGCAACCTTTCTAACAGTAATAAAAACAGATAAGGGGGTCCTAAACATTTTGGGGGACACTCTATTGCACTTTCAATGAAAACTAGAAGTTCTATTTGTCAGAACTTTTTCAGATAGCTTCATTTAACAGACACCTCACTCACCCTGGTTTAAATAAAAAGAAAATGTGGGACTGAGGGAAAAACTCAGTGGTTACATGACAGAAAAGTTCAAGAAATGAATCCTCAAGGACAGAGAGATCCAGGGTCTCTAGTGAAGTTGTCAGACTGTCGTCACTCTCGTGGCTGTGTTGTCCTCTGTGTTGACTTTATTCTCATCGGCCTTTCTCTAAATGGTGGCAGAGAGAGCCACCAGCAAAGACAGCCATCTATATCAGCAAGACAACTTTAGCTGAAAGAATTCTATGGGAAGTTGCAGGACATGACTAGGGCCACATGCCCAATCCTAAACAACCACTTTGGTTGACTGACTGGGGCTGAATCACATGACTGGAAGGGGTGTCATCCCCATTCTCAACCGCTCAGACTGAGCGAGTAGGAGAGAAATTATGGTGTTATTACCAAAGGAGAAAAAGAAAATGCTGGGCAGCCAAAAAATAAACCATTTGCCTAATAAAAAGGCACATATCTTGTGTTAGTTTCCTAGGGCCATGGTAACAAATTCCCACAGACATCGTGGCGTAAAACAGCACAAATTTATTCTTTTTTTTTTTTTTTAATTTTTTTTTTAAATGTTTTTATTTATTTCTAGGAGAGAGAGAGACAGCATGAGCAGGGGAGGGTCAGAGAGAGAGGGAGTCACAGAATGAAACAGGCTCCAGGCTCTGAGCTGGCAGTCAGCACAGAGCCCGATGCGGGGCCCGAACCCACGAACCGCGAGATCATGACCTAAGCGAAAGTCGGACGCTTAACCGACTAAGCCACCCAGGCGCCCCACAAATTTATTCTTTTATAGTTCTGGAGGCCAGAAGTCTAAAATCGAGGGAATGGCAGGGCTATGCTCCCTCCAGGGGCTCCAAGGGAGAAAGAATCCTACTACCCTTCTTCCAGCTTTGGGTGGTTCCTGGCATTCCCTGCCCTGGGACAGCCTTTCTGCAGTCTTTACCTCCCTCCATCTTCTCATGGCTTCTTCTGTGTGTCTCTGTGTTTCTCCTTCTGTGTGTCTTCTGTGGGTCTCCTTTCCTCTTCCTTTAAATACACCAGTCATTGGATTTGGGGCCCATCCTAAATCCAGTATGATCTTATCGCAAGATCCTTAACAAATCACATCTGCAAAGACCCTATTCTCAAAGAAGATCACATTCTGAAGTTCTGAGTGGACATGAATGGGAGAATACTACGGCCCCATTCCATACCTCATAAACACACACATAAAATTTGGCATACATTTTCAGGAGGTTCATGAACTCACTCAGTTCCATCCATGGATCATTGAAAAGGAATATGGACCACAGATTAAGATGCTTGGGTTTCTCAACTTTGCCATATTGACTTTCTGGGCCAGGTAATTCTTTGTCATGGGAGCTGTCTTATACATTGTAGGATGTTTAGAAGCATCCTTGGCCTCTACCCACTAGATTGCAGTAGCTCCCCCTCAGTCATGATAATCAGAATATCTTCAGACATTGACAAGTGTTCCCTGGGGGGAAAAATCATCCCTGGTTAAGAACCATTGGCTTATACAATGGTTTATGTGCTAACAGGACAGAAAGAGCCATTTTGGTGACCTAACAATCCTGGATACATATGCCAGAGATGTCATAAAGGGCAACATGTATAGGAATGCCCAACACAGTATCATTTGTGGCAACTGGTAAGGAGGACTCACTCTAGGTGCCCATCACTGTGCAGAATGAATAAGGGAAGTATAGTTTAAAGTAGGCTTTTATCCCACATACTCCTTTATTTTCATACCCAACAGTCCCCTAAACCATGAACCATATCACTCGACCAGACTTCAAAATGCCTCAAAGTTTCCATTTGATATTTTGAAGTATATGCTCCTTAGTCATCTCTGCTCAGCCCTTCCCTCAAGGCTCACACCCTCCTATTGTTCACAGTGTCTTTTTCAAGGAAGAGATTGTGTTCAATCCATCTTTTTTTGCCTCCAGAACTTGCTTGATGCTTTGTACTCAAACATCATTCAATACAGGCTACATTTATTAAATATGTAATACTATTACCTGGAATTTATTTGTTAACTCTACATAAGATGCATTGAAATTGCTTGAGATAAAAATAAATGTTTGATTCTTAAGCAAATAATCTATTTTTAGAAAGTAAATATAATTTAACTTGTTTGCCCTACATAAATAGGAAATCTGATTATTCTTTGATCTTACTTTTCCTTTTTAAAATTTAATTCACGGAGAGACGACCAATTATAGATGACCCCACAGCTTAATAACATATCTGTTAATGTTCTAGGGGGAAAAAAAAGTCAGGGAATTAAATTAAGTATTAACGGAGTTTGAATTGATTTGAGGAACTGAAACAAATAGCTATCATACCCTGTTGTGATCTAGTTCTGTGTATTTTTACTGCTAAGACTGACTTCAAGCTTGGAGATAAAAAGGAACTCTATCCTTTCCTCAAATTGTCAGAATCCATTTCCCTTGAGTTATGTAATGCTACCAGACTCTTGGTTGTATGTGAATAATAAGAAACACAGTAGTCAAAGTGTTAAGTAGGTTCATGCATATGAATCATTCACTTATTTATTCATTCATGAGTTTACCCATTCAGTAAGCATCCATAGTGCACCTGCTGTGTCAAGCATTGCTCTAAGTCTAAGGATTTAGAGACAAAGTAGAAATAGTCTCTGTCCCCAAGGAGCTGTCAGAATGGTAAGGCATGTAATAAATTGGGCAACACAGTATTACCTGGGTGGTGGTAAGTCTGTACAGAAAACAATGGCACCACTGGGCAGGCAGGTCTATCTGGGAAGGATCAAGAAAGTCCTCACCCAGGTGAACCTTACATTGACATAAAGAGGCATAAAGGACACCAAGGGGAGGTGTTCAGTGGGCAGGTGGACATGGAAATTTGGAGGGTAGAAGAGAAATCAGTCCTGGAGACACTGACCTACTGGTCATTAGCTTTGAGGGGTTTGTGTGAAGCCAGGGGGTAGCTGAAATCCTGCAGATAGCACCACACCCTTCTGAGAAGACAAGGATGGAAAACAGCTGGTCTGAAAAGAGCTGAAGAGAGGGGACCAGGGCTGGACCTTTGGAACTGAGGCCAAAGACAAAGTCCCTAGGGTCAAGACACCAGAGGAAACTATCTTAATCACTTAAGCTTACTCTGGGTGCAGGCAGATCAGAGGTCTAACACCAGTGTGGCCTTGAACAGACTATTTAAACTCTATTTCACTCAGTTTCCATAACCATAGAAAGGGAGTATTAATAGTACATACCTTGAGGCACCTGGCTGGCTCAGTCCATAGAGCATGTGACTCTTGATTTCAGAGTCATGTGTTTGAGCCCCATATGGGCATAGAGATTACTTACATAAAGAAAAAAAATAGTACATGTCTCAGAGCTGTTGGAAGAATTAAAATGGGGAAAATTAAGTGTTTATAAAACAGTGTCTGGCACATGGCAAAAAATCATCAAATACTAGTTGTTGCTATCATTTAATTATTAAAACAGATGTGAAAGACTAGGGAACAAACTTTGACCCTTGAACTGTGAGATTGTAACACGAGCTTTTTATTTTTTGCTGCTAACAATGTTTATCGAGTAGCTGTGATATGCGTGGCATGGTTTTTAGAGCTAGTAAGAGAAACTAGTATCTATGGTCTAAAAAGCTTAAGATTCACTCAGTGAATCTGTGAACTTAGATGAGGGGAAAAAATGCATCTTTATTTTCAGTAAAGTAACTAAAATTTCACATTTCTTTCGATTTTGAATGTAGGCAACAAATCATACTAGTACTAATAGTACCTGTGGCTTTGTCACCAAAATAAATATTTTCATATCACATTACGGTTGTTGAAGATATCTAGAAATGTTTATTAGACATAGTATTACTATAAAATTAGGGAGTTGACAGACCATGTTAGATACTGTCATTATTTGTTATTAAAGAAGCATATATATTGCCGTATCATAAATTTGAGGGTTCTTTGGTGGGTTTTTTTTTTTGCCTTTTTAAAAAAAATTTTTAAAATCCAAGTTAGCTAACATATAGTGTAATAATGGTTTCAGGAATGGAATTTAGTGATTCATAGCTTCCCTATAACACCCAGTGCTCATCATAACAAGTGCCCTCCTGAATGCATCTAGCCCACACCCCCATTCACTTCCCTCCAGCATCCCTCAGTTTGTTCTCTGTATTTAAGAGTCTTTTATAGTTTGCCCCTCTCTGTGCATATATATGTACATATACCACTTCTTCTTTACCCATTTGTCAGTGGATGGACATTTGGGCTCTTTCCATAAGTTGGCTATTGTCGATAGTGCTGCTATAAATATTGGGGAGCACATGCCTTTTGAATCAACATTTTTGTATCCTTTGGATACATACCTGGCAGTGCAATGGATTGGTCATAGGGCAGCTCTTTTTAACTTTCTGAGGAACCTTCATGCTATTCTGCAGAGTGGTGGCACCAGTTTGCATTCCCACCAACAGCACCAAAGTGTCCCCCTTTCTCTGATTCTCACCAACACTTGGTGTTTCCTGAGTTGTTAATTTTAGCCATTCTGACAGGTGTGAGGTGGTATCTCATTGTAGTTTTGATTTGTATTTCCCTGATGATGAGTGATGTTGAGCAACTTTTTATGTGTCTGCTAGCCAACTGGGTATCTTTTTTTGGAAATATCTCTTCCTGTCTTTTGCCCATTTCTTCACTGGATTATGTGCTTTAGGGTGTTGAGCTTGATATGTTCTTTATAGATTTTAGATACTAGACCTTTATCTGATATGTCATCTGCAAATATCTTCTCCCATTCTTTAGGCTGCCTTTTAGTATTTTAATAACCATGTTTCAATACAGTTGGTTTCCTTTGTAAATACACTGTACTGTATCTTATGCATTTATAATAGTTTATGCTGAAAAGGGACCTGGAGGCCCCACCGGATTGCCGATGGGGTCACGGAACACAAAAAGTTTAAGAACACCCGATAATATATTCAAGTCTGGGAAAGACAGGCAAAAATAAATTACACAAATACATAAGATAATGTCAAGTAGTGATGAGCTCAGTGAAGACCGAAAGACAGGGGAAAAGCATACAGAGTGTTGGGTTGATTTAAACGGTGAGATCAGAGAATGCTGTCTCGAGGAGATGACATTGGAACGTGCACTTGCAGGAAGCCAGGGAGAGAGTCGTGTGTGTTTATCTGAGAGGAGGATGGTTCCAAGGTAAGGGCATAGCAAGGTAAACGGCTCTGGAGCAACAGGACACTTGACATGTTACTGGAGAGGAAGGGGCTAGGCCAGCCTTGAGTCCAGGAGGAAACTGAACCTCTGTCTTACACAGTCAGGGGTCCCCCAGCACCTGGCCAAGTGGGAGTGCATAGTAGACATTCAAAAAATGAGGCATTGAAGGGAACTAATTCACCTCCAGGCACAACTGGGTTTGCCTCCTGGGTTACTGTCGTGGAGAGAAAGCCTAGGGCAACAGCTAGGTGTGGGGCCTGAGGTCAGCAGAAAGATCTGGGCTTCTCTTAACTCAGCCCCAGGACTTCTGGCCAAGGAGGCGTACAGGGGGAGCCCCCAAGAGCACAAATGAGGCCAGAGCTGCTTCCCAGGGAGGACTGGAGAGCCCGAGGACACAGGCTTCTCCCCTGTTTGTGAGCTAGCGAAATAGCTGATAGGCCTGCAGCTCTCCCCGCCCCCCCCCCCCCCCCCCCCACTTGATAATTCCCCACCCTGGCCCATCCTCCAGAGTCCGTGGGCCGGGGGCCCATCATTGTAGCCGAAACTGATAGTTACGGAGCCTCATTCGTGCCAGGCACTTTTCTGAGAGCTTGACTCCTCTAATTGTCACCAAAAAAACGTATTCACAAATGGGGAAACTGAGGCCCAGCAAGGGGAAATAACTGGTCCTCACACACAGGACCATTCAGCGGCTAAGTTGGGAGTGGCCTCGGGTGTTCTGACCCCAGAGGCTCTATAACCTTCCTCTTAAACAGCACATTGAACCGAGTCTGGACACAGAGCAAACCCCTCAACCAAGGCCAGAGGGACCGGGGACAGAATGCCAGTGGCTACTCAGGAAGAACTCCAACCAGACATTTGTTCCCTTCTATCCTGTGCCCTCCCCTGTCTGGGGCTGGAGGAGAGACCAGAAGTAGAGGTACTTGGGAAAGACCCCAAACGGATAGCTGATTGGCCCGTGGCAGGCCTCCCGGCAGCTTTGCCGGCATCCTGAGGCTTGCTTCGAAGGTTCTAGAATGCAGACTCAGGCACACCTGGCGAAACTGTGTCCCGTCCCTCCCGTGCACCAGGGGCAGTGTTAAGCTGGCTGCCACTCAGCTCTGCCCCCACAGGGCTGTGGGGGGCGACCCCCCCGCCAGTGCCGGGCTCTGAGGCTGTTCCCTGCACCGCTGGGCGTTGCCGCAGAGAGATCAGGTCTGTACGGGCTCGTGTGACCTGTAGCCATTCAAGGGTCTCGCACTCAAATGGAAATGTGCCAGTCACT